TATATATATATATATATATATATATAATTGTCTATATATGTATATATATATATTTTTTTTTCATGTATATGAATAGTGGAAAAGAAAAGAAGTTTAACAGGAAGGTTTTTCTACTTTAAGTTATTTTCCGTGCAGTTAGAGGGAGAGAAAGTATGAATAGTATGTTATACTTCTTCATTCTCTTTTCATTCCCATTAATCAATATTATTTCTCTGGCTGTTTATACCAACTGGTTTATTTAGTGGAGGGTTTGGTTTCTATTTCTGTTCAGGTGAATTTATTTAGTTTGGAAACTGGTGTTTTGTTTGGTTGATGTTAACTAGTCTCTTTAGTGTGTTTTGTTTGGTTGATGTTAACTAGTCTCTTTGGTGTGGATTTGGTTGATTGATTTATTGTTTGTCGAATTGTGTGAAATAAAGCTCATGTTTAGAGAAGAACACCTGAAGAGAAAAGCAGCTTTAAAGAAAGATGAGGGCTGAGAGAAGGCAGCTGATTGGCTGCAGCTTAGGGACAGCGGACACTTTGGACAGGAGAGGAAACGTCTAAAGAAGGTTTAGCTGCTCTGGGTCTGCATCTCACACCTGTAGACAGGTGACCAGAGCAGCGGCCATGGCAATGGGAGGGACATGTGGGTCGTTGGCCAGGACCGGTGACCCGTACGACCCGNAATATAAAAGTGTTATTTGTATAGCACAGTTCATTTCATGGGCAATTCATGAATTAGATAATTAAAGAAAAGCAGAATAAAAGAAAATCAAGATAAAAACATCAGTAAAAGTTGGACTGTGTTTGGCCGGCCTGATCCAATGAGGAGGCTGAAACCTGGATGTAGCTTCATTTTTCACTCAGGACATAGTTCTGGGAAGAGAAGAGAGCAGAGCTGATATCAGAGACATTAAAGAACTGACATATTCTCCATCAAAGTTAGAGAAAAAAGACACAATTAGGAATATTTCTTCACCGTTTTATTTGTTAGGAAGAAAACGTGGATCCAGATACCAACTTCTTCTACGGCTGATACGACACAACTGACCAATTCAACAGTTTTCAGTTCAAGTTTTCTATCATACATTTCAACAGCAGAAGTTTCTATACTAACTTCAACAACATCAAAGACCAGTTTAAAGAGCCAATCAGCATCAAAGCATCCCTGAAACATGGAAGGAGCTGATTCTGAGCTGCAGGGTTAAAAATCACTGGACCCAGCAGGATCACACTTAATAGATCATATATTTACTAATATCTTAGATAACAATACATTCAGTGGATTAATAGTTCAGCATATTAGGTGTCATCTTCCAGTCTTTGATATAAGCGACAATTTCTATATAAAAAATAAGGATAAAAGTGATCCACAGTTTAAAAGCGTAAGAATAGAGGAATCACTGCGATCGTTCAGAGAATTTATTGAAACATAACTGGAAGTCTGTTTTACAAGAAGATAATGTCGATATAGCAACTTCCAGAAAAGATGAAAAGTTATTCCACTTCATAAATCTGTGGGCAGACACCATTTCACAAATTCTAGGCCTGTTTCTCTACTTCCACAGTTTTTCAACATTTTGGATAAATTCTTTGTGGAGAGATTAGATACATTCATTAATAAACATAAACTGGTTTCTGAAAGTCAGTATGGATCTAGATCCCAAAGATCTACAGCAATGGCCGTTATTGGATTGATAGAATAAGTCACCAGCGCCTTAGATAATAGGAAATCTGCAGTTGGTTTATTTATTGATCTCAAAAAGGCTTTTGACTCAAAAAAAATAATAATTAAGAAATTGGAGCGAAATTGGAGCGTTATTCATCCGGGGAGTAGATCTACTCTGGATGAAAAGTTATCTAAGCAACAGGCAACAATTTGTGCAAATGGGCGACTGTCAGTCATCCTGCTTGGACATTGTTTGTGGCGTCCCCCCAGGGGTCAGTATTGGGGCCAGAATGATTTATCGATTGCTGATGTACAAGGATGTAAACGTGGATTATATATATGTAGGGAGATGTGTGTGTATATATATATATATATATATATATATATATATATATATATATATATATATCTATATATGTATATATATATATATTTTTTTCATGTATATGA